AAATCTGGCTGCTTTTTATCCATGTCCTGAAATTTTGTGGGAGGCTGAACTTGAAGGTGACAGACTACTTTATTTGGCAAAGAAAATTTTAAGGTAGAAGAACAACTAGCAGCAGATCCTGGTGTTGTCTGTGATGCTGGTTTTGCAATCATGCAGAATCCAAGAGTTGTAGAGTTATGAGGTTTCGGAAAGCCTGCAAGGTCAAGCAATGCGTCGCAGGGTTGAAGTTCCTGCAAGCAGACCCTGATGAGGATGCAAGGAACTGTGGCGGTGAAGCTAAAGTTGCAGTGTAGATCCCAGGAAGACATAGGTGTTGGCAACACAGGACATGTGCCAGGGGAAGCTACATGCAACAAGAAGAGGCAGCCCTAGGAAATGGTCATGTGGGCTGTRTCTGCAAAGTTACAATGCTATTTTAAGTCCTTGGGAACACATCCCACCAATGTGTCTCAGATGTTGTACAAAGAACATTAGGATTTAATGTTTGCCCTGCTGTCAGTCTTACTTTAGTGTGATCCTTCCTTTCTAGTCCTCTCTTACTCTCTTTTGTAATGAGAATGTATACATTGTGCCTGTCCCAACATCGTACATTAAAAGTGTATAATTTGTTTTTTATTTCTATAGGAACTCACAACTGAGTTTGCCTTAAGACTTGGGTGAGATTTTAGCCTAGAACTTTTGAAAAATGCTGAAAGTTAAGACTCCAAACCTTTGGGAGATAGGGAGAATGCTTCAGTTTGAATCTTAAAAGTCTTCGAAAGTACCATGTGACAAAGGTTTGGTCCCTAGAGTGGAGCTACTGGGATTTCTTTGYATCACTGATGGCATGTTCTCCAAGGGAACAGCAGTACCTCACCCTTTCCTCTTCCTGTCTTGATTCCTGGACATAGTCTGAGTAGGTTTTCTTGGCCATGGGTTCTATGCCATTGCCATCTGATACTCCAGAGGCCTTAAAAGCAATGGGTTCACCTGATCATGTACTGAAACCTTTAAAATCACGAGACAAAATTAACCTTTTCTCTCTATAAGTTATTCATCTCAGCTATTTGTTATATTAACAGAAATCTAACATAGTAACCTTATTACAAAATTCAACTATTCATTCATTTTTCAGATATTTACTATGTTACTACTATATGCTGGGCATTGTRCTAAGTACTAGAAATAAAAATAATTTGCCAGACAAAGAGATTATAGCTTTCTGGTTAAACAGGGAAAGAAGATACTATAATGTTTATGATGTCTGTTATGATCAGGGGAACAAGTATACTGTGGAAGAACACATGATGTGGGTTGAAAAAGTAGGTCTACAAAAGTCAACAATGATGCCATGGTATTCTCATTACAAATCCTTATATCAAAGCAAGATAATTATATCAGACTACCAAATGTGTAATATCAGACTATGAAAATTGGTTCTACAACTATTTCCAGCAAAAAGCCCATCAACTTCAGTGTATAATAGAATACAATCAGAGGGGAATTTAAAACAAAGAACTCATAAACTAGACACTGTGATTCCACTCYCCACCAAAAACAAAACAAAACAACAACAACAAAAAAAAGAATAGGAAAGAGAGAAAAATTAACATTATGACTTTGTAGCTTAGTGCCATAGGGAAAAAAAAAAAACTGCTTAAAGAAAATTAAATCAGGTGCCTTAAATTGTTTTAGATGATAGAGGCTAGATTACTTCAATGATCATTGGCGTCCCCATGTTAACAGATCCCAAAACCCTACAACTAGAACTGACCATTTTTTAAGTTTCAGAAGTTGATATGACCAGACAACATTTGGTATGACATACAAAATGTCCACAGCATAGCACTCAAATGTTATACCAGGATGAATTTTGTTTAACACTAGAAGGATTTACTCACATGTTAATATAAATGACATTTAATGCCATTTAAATCAAACATCATTTTCTTTCTGGCTAAGCTTGATGATATTAGTCAATTATGCAAAAGCCAAAGATAGTAAAGCTTTTCTTTGGTTTAAATTTCTATTTTTCTTGGTATCATCATCACAAATGTACAACAGCATTCAGCTTAAATTAAATAAATTCTATAATAGAGCATCCAGGTTATAATATACATAATCAATAAAGTGAATAGTAATAAAAATTATTGCAAGTCTAAGTCACTGTATAAAAATCATACCTTAGAATATGTTATTTTTATTCTATTATCTGAAACTCTAAGAATATTTCATTACAAAAAGAAAATAATTTTAAATTATGCTCCTTGAAATTATTACTGTTCAATAACAGTAATCCTAAAAATACTTCCACAGGATATAAATTTATCATCATTTCCTCTAAGATATATATAAATTTTCTTAAAAACTCTGTCATTTAAAAAATCGATTTCCATGTTTACATATTCCGAGGCTTTTTTTTTTTTTGTTTGATGATAGTGGTAGGGATCAAACCCAAGGCCTCAGACATGCTAAGTGAAGGCTCAACCAGAAAGACAATTTTTGAAATAACAGGGTTTTTCAAGATCTTTGCTCCAACTGTATGTAAGTAAATACAGAGAAATTAGTAACAACTTTCTCAAGGAAACACAGCTTTTAATTCAACACTCTTTCCCAGGTTATTACCTTTTAGAACTAAAGAAACCTATTGAAAGATCATTAAAATAATCTAATTGRTTGATAATACTGTTATTATACACTGATTTATTGGCTTTATTAGATAAACTTATTTGTTTGTTTAGTATAATACATGAACTGTGTAGTTTTGGATATACTTATCAATAAAGTTTAAGGCTAAAAGCAGCTTCTGATCATAAAACTAATAACTTATTAAATTCTTAAAAATCTCCTTTTCTATGCAGCTTTTCATATTAAGGAAAAGGAGGAAGATTTTACATGGTTTAATGGTGTGTAAATATAAATTTTAGTTTCCATTTAACCTGTCTGCATATATTCCTTCCATAACTATCAATAAAATTTTTACATGAAACTCAAGTTTTTAATTTTGTCAAATTAATATAAAATGTTAATGATTTGTGAATTAATTTCCAGATTATCAGGGGAAAAAAAACCCAGCAGATGTCATACTCACTTATGTAAAYGCCAACAGATTTTTTTTAACAGACTTTTTTTGACACAATACAAGCAATAGTTCTAGTTTCTTTTTTTTTTAAATGAAAAAACATTTTGATAATGACACAGAAAACTAATAATAATTTATTTTTCATTTCCCACTGAAAGCTAATACTCGGGTAATCAATAGTTCCATTATCATTTCTAATGTTACTAAACAGATGTGCAACAATGAGAAACAGCTGAGGGAAGAACTGGCAGAAAATGGAAGGGTTTAGGGATAATTTGGAGAACACAAAGGTGTCTGGATAATTTCTTATGTCACTATCCAAAATTACTTTCAATGTCTTATCTCGGACTCTTAAATATAACTTTAATAGTTTTTCAATATTTTAGAAATAGCAGTGCAGCATGAAAAGTGCTCAAAATGTTGCCTGGTACATCAGTAAAATCTAGCTTTTATTTTTATTAAAAAAAAAACATTTTATTATAGAAAAATCTTACTACTGAACACTAACCTTTCTGTGGGMAACAATGATATGGTACAAATATTGTGCTAACTCAGCTCATCCAGCATGAATTGCATAAACTTTACACACTCATTACTTGCTCCTCCCCCCAAATGCTTGCCATCACCTTATGGATGTTCTGCTTACATTTTTCCCTATAATAAAAAGATTCAGCTAGCTATGGTGTTGCAAGCCTGTAATGCCAGTGGCTTAGAAGGATGGCAGGTTTAAAGCCAGCCTCAGCAACTTAGTGAAGCAGTAAGAAATCTAGTGAGACCCTATCTCCAAAAAAAAAAAAAAAAAGGGAATGGATTTTTTAAAAAGTGGCATTTATACACAATGGAGTATTACTCTGCACTTAAAAAATGACAAAATCATGGAATTTGCCGGGAAATGGATGGCATTTGAGCAGATTATGCTAAGTGAAGCCAGCCAATCCCTAAAAAACAAATGCCAAATATGTCTTCTTTGATATAAGGAGAACTAAGAACAGAGCAGGGAGGAAGAGCATGAGAAGAAGATTAACATTAAACAGGAACGAGAGGTGGGAGGGAAAGGGAGAGAGAAGGGAAATTGCATGGAAATGGAAGGAGACCCTCACTGTTATACAAAATTACATATAAGAGGAAGTGAGGGAAAGGGGAAAAAAAACAAGGGGGAGAAATGAATTACAGTAGATGGGGTACAGAGAGAAGATGGGAGGGGGGAGGGGGGATAGTAGGGGATAGGAAAGGCAACAGAATACAACACACTAGTATGGCAATATGTAAAACAGTGGATGTGTAACCAATGTGATTCTGCAATCTGTATACGGGGTAAAAATGGGAGTTCATAACCCACTTGAATCAAAGTATGAAATATATCAAGAACTATGTAATGTTTTGAACAAACAACAATAAAAATTAAAAAAAATGGTTCCTGGGAGTATAAAACTTAAAAAAAAAAAAAGGGGGGGAATGGGATATGGCTCAGTGGTAAAATACCCTTGGGTTTAATCCATATCAATTCCTTTCCAAAAATAAAGACTTTCCCATTTAAGGATTTGAGCAATATCCATGTTTGCTTGTTACATTTAATGAGTTAATATATTTTTTTGTGGTTAAATAAAAATCTCTACCAAATAATAACCCACTATCTTTCTACTAAGATAAACATTTCAAAACCATGGATGGTGGCGCATTCCTGTAATCCCAGAGACTCAGGAGGCTGAGGCAGGAGGATTGCCAAATGCAAGGTCAGCCTGGCAACTTACTGATATTCTGTCTTAAAATAAAAAGAGCTGGGATGTAGCTCAGTGGTAGCATTCCCATCAGTTCAATTCCCAGTATCAAAACAATAACAACAACAATAATAAAAAACAGATAAATATTATGATAATCTAAAATTAAACTGAAGATAGGAAATAAGGCCMAAATCTAAGATTTGGAAATTATTACTTACTGCAGGTACCAGTAGTTTCTTCACTTCTTCAACTGCTCTCTTCAGTTTTATTTCTGCTCTGTTCTGAGCATCTTCCACAGTGATTAGTACATGTAAATCTTCATTTAGATGCTCCCARTTGGGTTTGCCTCTATTTTGCTCCTCCTAAAAAATTTACAAAGTACACTCTTACAATTTTTTTTCTTTAAAGAGAGTGTATCCTTCATATTGTGAATCTGTTGCCAACAATTTAAGCCATGTTTGCATTATTTTGCTAAAATAACATTAGAAATCTTCTGAATTATTTTCCTGGCCAAAACGAAGAAACTTACATAAGGCATYATCCATAGATTACCATGAAGAACACTCTGAGAAGCATGTTATTTCTATAAATTACTTATGAGTAAACAGAAAGTCATCAAGATTAAGCACGTCACTTACAAAGAACACACGGGAAATAGTCAGTATAAAAACGAATCAAAGAATTCTCAAACTCAGTAAAATTTCCACTTCATTACAACATTAGTTGTACTCAACAGCAGAAAAAAATATTTTGCAAACAAGACATTATAGTGTAAAAGAAGTACTACACCTAAGTATTTGAAGTAATAATTATGGAAACATTTTATTATAATCCACAAGAAATAATACTAGTTATAACTATATTTCCATTAGACTTTTTAAAAATCAACTATAAGGCCTCTCTTTATCATTATATCAAGTAATGAATACAGTTTTTCAAACACTATGTGTGCCCAATTTCCTTAATGACGTCTAGTCTCCTAGTGAGGAGGACCCTCACACTGATACCTTGACACCACAGGGAGAACTAGGAAGAGCACACTACAAAAACCTATTATCTAAATTGGGTCATTTCAGAATTGCAGAGCTAATTCTTGCTTTAAGTTTTAGAGATAATGCAAATACGATTTATAAATTTTTAAAAAACAAAGAATATAAATTTATAAATAGGTAACATACAAATGTTATACAGAAATGGATGTGGCTCARACCAAAGTATCACAAACAAACAATAAATATTACCTTTGTTGTTATTAGATCTTTATCTTGAATCTACTCATTTATTTATTTTACTAAATGTGAGACTCCAATCCAAGAAAGTAAAACTGGTATAATGAAACAACTTTTGTACAACTCACATGAATGAGCTTACCCAATGAGGACAGAAATGTCTGAACAGTTAAGTATGTATTTCTACTTTATTTTCAGCTAATATCTTCAGTGGGAAAATGCATCTACATGTTATAAGAGATAAGAACATTCATGTTTCCCCAAGTATGGGAGGCAGAAGAGTGGGCTCGCAAGATCCAGGATACGTGAAATTTCAGGGAACTGGAGCTATAATCACATCTATTAACACTTATGCACTACTAGCTCAAAGTATGTCTGTTTCAACATTAGATCACACCCCATTCCATTTGGTAAYGATACACATGCACAAAGCTAGGTCTATTCGTTGCTATTACAAAAAGCAAGTCTGAAAAACTCAAGAGAATAAGAAGGTGGTTGTGTCCAATCTGACTCTGAGGTTTAGAACTTGAATGATGCTATTAATAAATAATGTGGTTATTTAAAAATAAATAATGTGGTCATTTAGAAAATCATTTTTTTCCCTTCAATTTAAGATGTTCTAAAGCCAGGCACAGTGGCACATGCCTATAATTCAAGCTATTCAGGAGGCTGAGATAGGACAATTACAAATTCAAGGCCAATCAGAACAACTTAGCAAGACCCCGTCTTGAAATTATATATATATATTTTTTTTTAAACAAAGTTTGGGGATGTAACTCAGTGGTACAGTACTTGCCAAGCACACACGAAGCTCTGAGTTCAATTCTTAGTACTGGAAAAAAAAAGTTTTGATACAGATATTATAGTTCTATTTATTATTTACTTAGAAAGTAAATAATAGAACTATAAAAGATTCATTTTCCCCTAGGGAGCACTATGAAAAAACTAAATGAGAAACCAGTTCAATCAAGAACTGGGAACTATGGGGTCATCTGCATGATAAAGAATATAAAATGTGCATAAATATTTTCACTGTTGCTCAATTTTTAAACACAAATGTTAATTTTAATGTTGAAGATTGCTAATAATATTTTCCCACCAAAATTTGTGTTTTTACATGGACTACTTACTGGCATTATTTGGTATAAACTGAAAGTGTGCCTTTTTGTCTAAATCCATCATCATAAGGGATTTTTGCTTCCAGCCAAGGAAAAATAAGAACCAAATGTATAGTCCCACTAGAAGCAAGTAAAACAAATGAACAACAGTTTTAAGCCAATAGACATCAGACAGCTAAGATCAGTGACAATGAAAAGACCTGGGGCGGGGACACAAGTGAGCCCTCCCTGACTGACTTCTCCCTGAGTGGAAAAGACTAGCACAGCTGGGGTCACACAACCAAGTCCTGTACAACCACACTGGGGAATAGCCAAAGGCCCAGAGCACTCCACCCAAAAACACCAGTGCAGCCTGGCAGGAAACTCCAGAGGCTTATAAAACAAATTGCTTCCAGGACTCAAGGTAACAAAGGGCCTAGTTTTCATAGAGTCAGACTGAAAAGACTTCCTGGGATTCAGAAACTGTACACTAAAGGCAACAATTAAATCTAGTCTGCCCACTGTTCCAGTGCTGCCCAAATAAATTTTAAAGCCAAAACCTAAAGGGACCAAACTTTCCAAATAACTTAACTGTGTCCCAGAACAAAGCTGAAGGGTATTTATAGAAATATAAAAATATCCAACCAAGAAGGTAAAATTCACACATACTATCTGATAACTAATCAGAAATTAACAGGCATGCAAAGACACAGGCAAATGCCAGAGATTAAAAAAAAAAAATCAAATCAAACCACAACTGATATTTTATATAAATGTCTATATATGTATTAATTAGTATTTAAAGACATTAAAGGCTATTCTGTGTTAGGTGAGATTAAGTATGTGTTTAAGAGTAGCGCACATAAATACTACACAAGGATARCTAAAGAACATTAATAATTTAGAGTAAGTCAGAAAAGCTTTAGCATAAAAGCTGAAATTGTGACTTGCCATGAAACATTTATACAATGGTGAAGAAAAAAACCAAAGAACTTAAAAAGGAGATATTACCTGCATTATAGAAACACAGAACAAAGCTGCATTATAATTTGCCATTGCACTTTACAGAAGGAATAAATTTGAGTTGCTAAGTACCTTGGCAAAAGTGTGCACTCTTAATTCAAGAATTTAAAAGCCAACTTAAGAAAATCAGAATTTAAAATGTACAAACCCATCAAGAAAGAAGAAAATGGGAATGAAAACAATTTTTTTACGAAATCTTTTCAAAACGACAAGAGTTATTGCTCAATATAACAATGTGACAGCAAAGACAAATTAGATAACATTACTATATGTGTATGTATAGTTGAGGTTTGATAGTTGAGGTCAGAATAAATAATGAGAAGACTCAAGGAAATGGAAAACAGCTTTATATAGTAAATTAAAGTCTAGTATCATATTAAACAATTTTATAATACCATTCACACCCAATAAAAGAACAAAGACATAATTACTAATGGTAATTTATTGTGTACATTCTTTATTTTTATTTTTTTAAAAGAGAGAGAGAGAGAGAGAGAGAGAGAGAGAGAGAGAATTTTTTAATATTTATTTTTTAGTTCTCAGCAGACACAACATCTTTGTATGTGGTGCTGAGGATCGAACCCAGGCCGCACGCATGCCAGGCAAGCGAGATACCGCTTGAGCCACATCCCTAGGCCTATTGTGTACATTCTTAATGAACAAAGCATAAATGAATTTCAAGTAACTCTTAGCCTCTCAGGTAATTATAAATTTAATAAGAACAATGATGGTGATCATGATAACGGCAACTAAGCTTTTATTGAACACTTACTACTTATCAAGTACAATGCTAGCAATAAAATATGCCATGTCATTATATCCTCCTAACTAAACTATATGACTGTGGGACTAACATTGTTATTGTTAGACAGATGTGGCTTGCCCAAGCTACACCAAAGTGCTTCTCCACCCAGATCACACAACAGAGCCTGCCATCTTGGCCACTAACTCCTAGCATACATCACCACCTACATCAGCTTCCTAGTTAAGTAAACTGCCCCAAGATAAGCAAAATAAATTAGTGAAAGACTAGAAACAAAGTTCTTGAATCTTTAGAATTCTTTTTTCAGCAGGGGTGTGTGTGTGTGTGGGGGGGGGGTGGAGCATCTTACTCTGTTGTCCAGGCTTATCTGAAGCCATCCACCCAACCTTAGCCTCCCCCTCCCTGCCGCCCCCCTCCCACAAGAGCATGCCACCATGTCCAGTTTAGATTTTTTTTAAACCTTATTAACATTTTTGTGTGCAATTCTAAGCATGTCTTACCCTCACAGAATTTTTGATTCAGTAGGGACTTTGCAGACAAAGAAATACATAAAAGAGATTTTTTTTCCCCCCATATTGGTCCTATCTCCTAATTCCAAGCCACTCCTTTCCCCATAAATAAATTCTTGAGTAAGTCATGAAGAATATCAAGAACTGGGAGAAATGTACTTGGTAAAACATCTCTTGCACCTACAAAATTTTGTTTTTCCTGAATGAGAGATCTATCTAATTTGAATGACAGAAATATTAAAAAATGATAAATCTGTAGCCATTTAATTTAAACACATAGAATCCCCCCAATCTTTAAATAGGAAAGGTTATTAAAACTAAAATGTGGCCTTAAACACAATGCATATTTTAAACATTATTACTAAAACATTAATATTGCCCATAAGTAAATAATATAATTTCTTTTTAATAAAATAAAATCCACTTCATTTTAAAGCTGTTGTACACAGTGACACATAAAAATAAAAAGCAATAAATTCTTATCATTTGAGAAACTACTGTTTGTGATTGTTTTTTGATAAAAAAGAAATCTGATGAGTCACTGCCTGATGAAGTTTAAAATTATTCTCTAATTACAGTATCTGTTTGAACAACAAAGTAATTCTATAACATGAAGCATCAGAGCACACTGATTGTCCTAACCCCTGCTGACACACTTTTAATTATACATTTGTAGGCAGGCAAATAAGCAAAAGACTTCTCCCCTACTGTGCTCTTAATGTGCAAGTTCATATGCCAAAA